CAGTCAGTTGTTTCTTCAATAGTTCGAACGACTTCTTTTGTTCTTGCTTCCACTCGAAGTCTCGATTCTTCTTTGTCAATCTGGTCAATGGTTCACTCTTTAACGTATACTTCGGCACAAATCGTCTGAAAAATCCAGTCAGGCCCAAAAATCTTCGCATTTTGTGCACATTCTTTGGTTCTGGAAATTCTGTTATGGCTTTTATTTTTCTAGATCCCGGTCTAATACCATCTTCGTTTATAATAAATCCTAAGAAATCTACTTCTCTTTTCCCAAATTCACATTTCAGAAAATTTGCATTTTTTGCAATAATTCTGAGCACAGTTCAGAAAATTGTGATAAGGAACGCGAACAGAAATTAGAAAGTATAAAACGGAACGGGAGATGTTTTCTATGCTTCCAAAAATTTCACGTGGTCCGCTTATGTAAATCAAAAGAGCGTCGCATGACATGTAAGCGTAAACATTCTAGCTTGATTTGTGACGCCAAATGCCTCCCGCGTCAGACAGAGAGTCACGAAGAAATGAAGAATGACAAAATGAAAGATCAAAATAGTGTCGCGATGAATCATGATGGATTATCTGACGTTTCAAAGCATTTGAAGAAAGCAAATAATTAACGACAGTGAAGCGATCGAATGTTTGATTGATACTGGAAGCGCTGTCAGTCTATTAAGATTTTCGGTCTTTTCGAAATTACGATTACCAGTGAAACCGAAAACAAAAAAATTGTTTGGAATTGGGAGCGTAAATCACACATCTACAACGACCTTGGGAAAAGTTCATGTTTCACTTCGAATCGGCGAAATCCAAACAACCGCAACTTTGCTTATCGTAAATGATGAAGTACAGCCTTATGACCTAGTTATTGGGAGAGATATTTTGAACGATCAGGTGTTGGCTTATGGGAAAAATAGGGGATTCGTTTAATATATGGTATGCTAATAAAATTCCACGCGCAAAAGAAACACAAACTCAACAAAACTTAGAGGAAGAACAGAAAACTGATTCTTAATTCTTTCCAATTGCATCTGGAAATTTCTGTAGCTAAGATATCTTATGGTGCTTACCATGTCTGCCAACTTCAATTTGAGAAGGTGTTCCGCTGGTAATGCATTTGCAGGGCTGTTCGCTTCAGTTTCGGGAATCGTTTGTATGGCTTTATGATCAATTTTCTTTCGTACAGTAACGACATTCTGGTTTTTTCTGGTTCTAGTGTAAACACAATGTTCGTACTGAGGAAGCAAAGAAAAGCACATACACAGATAGAGCATCAGCGTGACTCTCCAAAAAAGAGCATTTTCTATGCTGTATCCGGCGAGAAAGTGCACGGCCCATTTTTCTTCGAACAAGGAACTTTGACTGGTGACTTACTTTTAGACACGTTGGAACGTTGGTTGTTTGCCAGCTGAACGCCAATTATGATGATTGATTGAACATGCTGTAACAGCAGACTACAACCTTTTCCTTGGCGACCCCGTTAGCCGGACTTAACAACATGCGATATCTTTATTTGGGGGTTTGTTTAAGACCGAGTTTATGTACCGCCAGCTCCCGTTCCCTTGAGGATGTTTGTGATCGGATAAAGCCTGCACTGCAGACTATCACGGCGGACATACTACATCGAGTATGTCATGTCACCAAGGTGCACGTATTGAAGGATTGTGATTAATGCATTAGAAATTTGAACAGCTGCCCCTGCTTATGCTGTAAAGTTTGCCCTTGTAAATTAATGCATCGATTTATTATTACATTTTTAAACCGCACCATTTATTTATAAATACCCTATAAAATAAACAAATCTATATATGCTTGGTACTGCCGATTGCAATAAAACAGGGAGATGCCCAACTCGCTGATACAGCATATACAAAATGTCGAAGTTCTGAGGCTTCTCATGTTTGAGTTATCCTAGATACATGCATGCATACGTACAAATGTCACAAAATTTGAATCCATTTTAGAATCCGTGTTGGAAGAAGAGTTTCTTTATTTTGTCCATATGTATGCTCGCCTCGTAAAAAAAGCCGTCAAAATGTAATAGGGAAAAGTTAAAATGGATATATCAGTTGAAATACGATACCGGAAACTTCTCTCAATATTTCCTTTACTTCGTACAAGGAAGTAAAAATACTAGAATCTATAGCTGCACTTTTATACTTTTGTTGCAGTCTACCTATACTTAGTCTAGATTTAGTTTCAGTTGTCCGATATCTAAATATAATAAAAATAATGTCCGATATCTAAATATAATAAAAATAATGTCCGATATCTAAATATAATAAAAATATTGTAGTTAACGTCAATAAAGATACGGTTAGCTGTGGCCATTAATGTCTTTGTATGCTTTTGCTATTTTCATTCTAAACACTTAAGATTTACTGAACGGTATTGAGAAACTCTGCAATTGCCACCGTAAGGGGAAAGGGAATGAAACGGATTAAATTCCGAGTTTTTCGGTTCAAACCGATAAAAAAATATTACAGAAATGAAGAATGTGAAAAAATGGATAAGACGACTTATTAAAACATAATATAATTCAAGAAAGAAAAATTTATTACTTAACCCGGAGATATCGGAATCCAGGGATTTGCGTTAAAACTCAGAGTCTTCCTGTCGGAATCGGAAATGTGACAACCTAGGCGGTGTGCATCATGAATTTCTCCCAGCTAGAAAAAGTGGTAACTAAAAAAAAAAAAAAAAAAAAAAAAAAAAAAAAAAAAAGAGCCATTCGAATGTTTTGCGACATTTTCATGAAGCAGTTCGTAAAAATTTATCTGATTTATTGCGAGCTGACAACATGGATTTTGCTTTCCGAAATTGCATCTGCTCACATGACTCTCATTCGAAAATGTTTGGCCCAAAGTTCAAAAGGCACGAATTCAGAAGCCTCGAATTCGCCAAATATGGTATCGTGCATCGTGTGATTTTTTTATATATCCATGGTTAAAAATATCATTTCGTGGTCGTCATCTTGAGCGTATTGATGCCAGAGTTGGATGATCCATTCTTGAGCTTTTTATTTAAAGAACCAATTCACTTTACTGAGTGAATTTACTCTGATTTCAGAAAACGGAGTTCTAGCTATTTTACAATTCACTGACAATTTTTATTGGAAACGTGCCAGGAAAGTACCATTCCCATTTTAGGGAAGAAAGGAATGTTTGACCTCCCATATAAAAAGTGCATTTTTTATACTTTACCAACTTTTTTAAACATTTTTTTCTTTTGTTAGTTCAGAGTAGAAAAGAAATTTACAGTTGAAAGAAATCAAAACTACAGTTGAAACAAATCAGTTCAAGGATTTAGCGTTTGACTGAGTCAATTTTTCTCATCTCACGCCTCGTTCATTCTTTTCATTCTTCGCTCCAAACTTGCTAATCGGTTCCGATGCCATTGCCCGTTTGATTCTGCCCGCTGTTCGTTCCATCCTCGGTAACTGCTCCTGATTCACCCCTTAGTTTGGAATATTTTTCATCAAGGTTATTATTAGTGAGCGCTGAGTCTTAAAAAAGACCGAATCATTTTAGGGAGTGAACTGTTCTGACAGATGATACAATAAATCAAATTCGCTACAAGCCTTGAAGAGCTCATTTCGACGGTTGGAAGAAACGTTGATATGACTGAACTGCAGTTCAAAGGGGACTACTTTAAAGGGTCCCTAACATTTATTGACAAATAGACTGAAATATTATGTTTCATGTAACCATTCTTTATTCATTTTGATTACAGTAACATTTATAATGTAAAAATGTCATCAATCAGTTTTGTTACGATAATATAATTCCAAATCATTTAAAGCCCAAATAACATATATTGTCAAATTGTTTTCGAAACCTTAACGACTCTCATCCAAATTTAGTGAATGTGTGATGTGGCACTTGAGCAGAGGGCTTAATTGGGCCGTGCTTCTTCGAAGATTGTGTTCGAAATGCATTACCAGTGAACGGAGAATACTACCGCAATTTATTCAGAGAGTTTATGTGGTCTGAACTCGATCGTATGAACACTGAAGAAGCATTGTTTCAACAAGACATGGACCTGTCCCACATCGATTGCAGCAATGGACGTGTTAAGAGATAGCTTTCCTATCCAGGTGACTTTTCGCAACGGTAACGTGAATTGATCTCATGATCTGATACCATGTGATATCTTTCTGGAAGATATTTGCAAGTTCATGCTTACGCCAACAAGCCATGCTTGTTCCCAGAGCTCAATGTCGAGATTCAGCGTGTAATTTCGGAAGTAGATGTGCAAATATGCCAAAACATTAATTTGACAATTTCATCGAAAGAACGGCAATGGTCCTGCAGAATCGTGGAGGGCATTTGAAAATAATGTTATATTTCATACATAATCACAGGTAGCATACACTACGTAAATATTTAGTGTATAAATTACCTAATTCCATCAGTTAATTTGTATGTTATTATGCACTCAAAAGTTGCGTTCTTTATGGGACACATGGGACACTATTTACATTCTAAAAGCGATTTTGAAGAGTAGCAGTGGTACCTCAACTTATAACTATTGTACAATAAGCTATACTTAGTTTAATGTTTCATTATTCTGTTAAATTATTAATTAATAAAGGGATTAAGATAATAATTAATGCATATTATAACAACTTTGTGCTATAGCTGAGAAGTTTGAAAGCTTTGCTTGGGAGAGTAAGATCTTAATTTCCTCGATAATATTATAGGGTTTAAACGTTTGCTGATTGATTTGGATTGGATTATATTCAGTCATGTCAAAGCACACTAGGGCTATCTGCCCAAGAGGAGGGATGCCTTCGTGGAAGACTTTCTAAGGGAAACTGGCTCGTATATACGTTACAGATGGGGAAAACAACAAAAACACCCACGCAGCCAGCCCGTTCGCGGGATTCGAACCTCGGACCGAACTACCAGTGTTCAGCATCTTTACCGCTCGGCCGCTGGTGGGCCGCTGATTTATTTGAATGAGAATGATGCAAAGTATTGTAATAAGAACAAAACTTACTTGACAAACTGTCCTTTTCCTTTTTAGAGATTGGTCTGAATACGTATTTCTGCAAGGAATTGATGACATGGGTTCCAACTAAAGTGAATCTTCCGAAACTTCTGCAGTCCATGACACGGATGGTTAAGGGAGGGCAATACATTTCTTGGTCAGGAAGTTCCTTCATGAAAAAATACAAATCGAAATAATTTAGTATTATGAAAATTTTCGGTACTTTTTTTCTGTTAAAGCGGCCATTGTATAAGTCTTTGGCGACACTTGAAATCTGCGCGTTATAGATTGATCAATTACGTTTGCCAATTCTGACGACTAATCGTGTTGGCTGCTTTAACAATAGAGAACACAAATTCTTGCAGCATTAATTCAATTTCCATCGCAGTTGTTCACAGATTTAGCAGTTTCCTGGAATGCTTAATCTCTGAACAACTGCGAAGAATGTTTAATCACATTTAGAGTAATTATAGCTTAGCAGTTTAAAAAAAAATGAAGTCCTGAAATATTTCAGATTTGCTTATAGTTCGACCGTCTCAAGCGCAACCCTGGTTGGCATTCTGCCAAAACACATAGACTTATCCAAAAGGAGCAGTATTACTTGCTGTGACGTGAAAGGTCTTCTCTTCTTCGGAAAAAGTTATGCTGGAGAGAAAGAAATTCCCCATCCTTTCACCCTATTTTGAGAATAATTCGATCCGAACGGAGCATGCGTGTTTGCGCTCATTGTCGCGGATGCGGCGGTCGAACTATAGCAGCAATTACAATTATTATTAGAAAAACCGGATCTAGAAACCACATGACTTCCTTGTGTGACCTATTAAATTGGACACATTTTTTTCTCCATTTCATTTAAACTTATTTCATCCAATTTCATGAGATATATTTCTCATTCAATTAATTCAGGTCTCACTTCGCGGCAAATCAAAAATAAATGAAACTTCAAAATATTTTCATTAAAAATTGAAAAATACAGAAAACCATAAAACACCAAGTACAGTTAAAATAGTTTGAAAAAAATTTACAATTAAAATTAGAGTTTCTACACACACACACACACACACAAAAAAAAAAAAAAAAAGCAATTCTTCGGCCAGCCAAGAAGACAGATTTTTCTGTGCAAAAAACTCAAAGTTTACTTTTCGACCCGGTCGGCAAAAAGACATTGAACGTGCAGAAACTGACACAATTCACTATTCTACTGAGTTTCAGATGTAAACGAATGTGGTTCATTAGGCTTAACTCTCCACTTAAATTTTTAAATTGTTGATAATTCTACAACTATTGCATGCAGATTAACTAAAGTTACAAGAACCTTAACCGCAACATAAAAACTACATTATTCAATCACTTTTAAAGCAAAAAATGCATAATTTTATAAGAATAAAAAATCTAAGCTCTCTAAGCCCGGTAACAGAGTGGGGATATAATGATTGGTGCAGTCAACTGCAACAAAAAAGGGAGGTGCAAAACTATAGTTATAGTAGTCCCGTATACAAAACTTCAGCGTTCTACGGCTACTTGTTCTTGAGTTATGCGAGATACATACATAGGTACGTACGTACAGACGCCAAGGGAAAAATCTCTTCTGAATCCATTTTACAATCTTTTCTGGCAAAAAACAGTCCTTTATTCTGACCGTACGTACAGATGTCATGCAAAAGCATCGTTCAAATGATTTTGACAGTAGCTGAAATGAATGTTTTCGTTGAATTATGATACCCGAAATTTTTCCTATTACAATACTTCCTTTACTTCGTGCAAGGAAGTATAGCGAATATCTCATAGCGACCGTTTCCTTAAGATGATCTCACTAACCATTCTTTCTAAGAATATAAATAAATGTCAGTACTAAACAACCTACCTCGAAGACGATTACGCTAAAAGAAGATCAAAATCATCTGAAATCCTTAATAGTTGTTTTCACATCCTTTTTTTTTTTTTTTTTCGGACGAACAATTGTTTCAAACAGGTTTTCTGCCTGCTTCACCACTGAAAGAAAGATCTACGATTTTTTTCGTCCTCTCTCAATGCATTTCAAGTTGTTCATTTACAACAAGTGGTATTCAAACTGTGTTTCGCGGAAGTAGAGAGTCCGCCAATCAAACACTAGAATCCTCAAGTCAAAATAAAAATTCGACATATGATATATATCAAAGGAAATAATGTGCGATGCTTTACAAAATTAAACAATTTTCTAATGGAGAACGAACTACATTTAGACCATAGTGATAAAATTATATAATTCTACCTTTTTCAGTTGAAGAAAACTATTAGAGAATATTGCTCAGAATGGAAAACTAAGTACGAATGAACAAAAAATCTGTTCGTGTATTACGATAAATCAGAAGGCTTGCCAATCAAAGAAGGGAAAAACTTACTGACATATCAAAACATTCCACGTTAAAATCTAAATTTAAGCAAGAACAGTTCATAAATCTTTGGTTGCAGATTTATGCAGAGTAACTAGAAGTTTCTCACATGGCTGTAAACAATTTCATGCCATTGGGAACAATGTACATAAGTGAAAAATCCTTCTCAACTAATGTCGTAACAAAAACAAAATATACAAACAAATTAAATGCAGAATATAAAATGCGACTGTAGATAACTTCAATAGAACTAGAATTCGACAGTTTGTGTAAAATAATGCAAGCAAACCCCAGTCACTAAATATTATGCGACGGTAGGTTACACCTAATACGAGTTAATGCTATTAATGAGCAAATTATATTAACTTTATGTTCAATTTTTTTAATAAAAATGCAATACTTCTTTTAATTGTCTTTCCATAAAGTAACTATAACCTATTGATCTACTTTAAATATTATTTTAAGATGTATTTTGCTGAGAGTAGGATTAAGTGCTCCGATAAAATCTTGCAATTGTAAGGGTTTCGTGAGTCGACAACGTTTGAAGACCATTGAGCTACAACAACCAATAAACTATTACCATCGAATCCCTCATTATCAACCATCGTTTGTAATGGAGAACTAGTTTGCTATTTACTTGAACAAAGATTTCTGAACTGATTGGCTGTTTTATATCATGTGACAAAGCAAAACATTAGTAGATTAGCTATTTCATATCAAGTGACAAAGCACAAAAATAGTAGATTGGCTGTTTCATATCATGTGACAAAGCACAAAAATAGTAGATTGGCTGTTTCATATCATGTGACAAAGAACAAAAATAGTAGATTGGCTGTTTCATATCATGTGACAATGCACTTGTTTTGTACTCAACTGTTGTTCTTCCGAAATGTTTTGAATGTGTGATACAACCTTAAGAGAAATTTCATTAGATAAAAAATATGTAGGATGCTTTAAGAAATTAATTACCTCATACATTCAGTTCGAAATATTTGTAATAAATAAAAGCTGTAACGTACAAAAAAGTATCATAAGTTATTTACGATCGCTGAGATAGTAATGATCACTAATGGAAATAGTATTCATATCCAATTGTTGAAATAATATTCATATCTAATTGTTGAAATAGTATTCATATCTAATTGTAATAATTATTATGCAATAAATAATAGATAAAACTGAAATTTTAGCCTTGATTTCAAAAGAAAAGAATTGTAAAATAATTTAAGTTATAAAATTCATTCAGGAAAGTCAAATTTTATAAAATTCATAGTTAAATTTTGCAAACGATGACCATTTTATGAATGAATCTTCTTAAAAATTTGATACAGCTATTGCTAGTTTCTCTTATTTATTCCTAATTACTATACAATCTTTCCAGTTCCAATTCCTTTAGAAGTTTAGCTCCTTAGTTTAGTTACAATTCCACTATGCATCCTATGTTTTAATGATAGCATCTACCTTTTAAAATTTACATAAATTCATAAATTTAACTATTAAAGTTCAGTTTTATGAATGCAACAATGTTATATTTCAAGTTAAGTAAAACCGTAACTATTTGAAACATCAGGATGCATTTATCATGGCAAGAATATGTCACATTTAATGTTACTTTACGTGAAGAAAATTGATAAATGTGTCAGATAATACTAATTATAGAGTGTATAATCGATAGTTACATCAATCAATGCCACGTTTAGAACTTTGGACTTCCATCTCAAAGCCTTCTTGACATGTTTAGAGAAGCGATAAATGATAGTCAACTGCTTTAATGGAAAATTTGTCGTGTTAAGAATTTATTAAACATACCACATCGAAATACTTGACAGGAGTTGAGAAATTGGGATTCTTCTTGTAGTTAAGAATGATGGAAGACTGGAGTATATGGCCTGCGCACTCGATGTCGACTCGTGGTCTATCAACAGTCATCAGGTGGACACGTTTTAACTCCCGAAGTCCCCAGAACAGCACCTAAATTAAAAATTTTTAATTGGTATTAGTAATAGCTTAAATTATTCAATAATTTTTCCATAGACAGGCTTTTGGTTGAGCAGTAGAAGCATTACTAACGGTAATTGTATAGAAATTAGAATTATTTACAGTGCACATCAATCTTGTCAAGGATGCTAGAGTAGGGGATTTCTGTACGTTAAAGTAACTACTAATGTCAGCTTAGTTGCTTGTTCTGAGTTAGGAACGTTAGACTATGGAAAACATTCTTTGTCATATACATTCTATTGGAATAAAATTGTAAATAAAAATGCAACGTCGCCATGCGACTGAAGATAATTAATTAGAGAAACATTTCTGTCATTTTAACTGTGACTGTGTAATATAGTACAGGAGCAACAGAATATTATGCATTGCAGTAGAGTTACTATTGTTGCGTGCGTACTGGTTCGTAACATAAATGCGCACAAAACCGATGACAACTTGATAAAATTTATTTTACCAAAGGAAACACTTTACAGTTCTGGAACTTTACACACTACTTGTACAGCTCTTTTCAGTATCACACAGCATAATGAATAGTTACTCTTTAAACTACTGAGAACGTTAAACACAACGCAGTGCAAAGCGCATCTAAAGAGCGGAGATAACACGGAGGTATCTTAATACTCCGTACTGACGCTGAATTAAAAAATTACTGAGAAATTGATGCTCTCCCAGGCCTTATATAGTTCCCCCCCCGGCCACTGAAAATCTTTAGCATCTTCCATTTTTCGGAATTACTGGAAAGGATATGAAGGCCAAATATGGCTACAGTTACATAGAGGATCAATTGTAGTTATTCAGTTGAAATGCTTATTACAGTTTTACAGGGACCGGACCAAAATGTGGCAAAAAATTTTTTTAACAGCAAAGTAATAATTTCGATAAGCTGTACAAGTTGATTTCACTGTAATGGTATCGCTGACTTCAGATAAATTCATTGTTTATTAAGATTGTAAGGTAGTTAATTAATTATCGGTTATTGTCGATTATTAATTATCAATTCGCTGAATAAATATATACAAAGAGTTTGTTTCTGTTAAAATTGAGCTTCCCAAAGTACTTATCCGTAGCAAGATAATTTTTGATGAGTCGCGAAAACTTCTATAGAACGTTTTCCTTATTATTCAATTAAGCATTTTTTCTTATAGTGTAATTATATATTCACTTATAATTACGAATTAATTTAAGAGTATCAATTAATTATTAGTAGTTATATGGTATTTATTCTTTTCCTTTTTCTAATTTTATTGCACGAAAATTATGTGAACAATTTAATTTCTAAACGACGTGGTTACAGTTAAGAACATAATGAATAATATTCATGGATAAATTACAACAAGTATCACAATATTATGTCTTTAAAAGAAATGTGCATTTCAATAAGCACAGACAGTAATATTAACATTGCAGTACCTAATAAAGATATCTAAATTTCTGCTTCTGTATATCTTGAATTTCTGCCGTTTTCGTTTGAAAACCTGTTTTTCATCTTTTAAATTGTTCATTTGTGCTTTATAAGAAAACAATTTTTTTCCATCTACATAGATTTCTTTGGATTACTTAAAACGCTTTAAAATAGTAAGTTACGTATTCAAATCACATCAGGGATTCACAAACATAGGCGAATTCCACATAAGAAAAATAATCTAAATTTAAATAAATGTATAGGTACAAAGGGAGTTCGTAACGAGTTTGCAAAAATTTATATATAAACTAACCTTAGAATTTTATTTTCTAGTATGTTCAGTATCATAGCCCTTTTACTGAACTATCAAATTACATCTTCATTTCCAAGGAAAAAGTCTTTTTCTTAAAACATCAAGGTTCATTTTATTTCACTCCTCCTTCACAATCTTCCAGAGTCCATCCAATGTTTTGGGATGCCCCTAGCTTGTTTTAAAAGTGCAAATGCACAGAAATCCAGAGGAGACACATAAGGGGACTTGGGTGGGATGCATTTAAAGGGAATAGCTTCAATTCCAATTTCATTTCTCATTTTTTCAAGAAAAATAGAGCAGTAGATATAAAGGTATGGCTCGGAGCCTTATTCCGGTGAAACCTAACACAGTGAAGATTGGCTAAAGAGAAATATAACCCCACGGCTCAACGAGCGCCACCTAGCGGCCGCCAGAAAAAACTCCGGTTAACAAAGACTATAGCAGTCAGTCGATGTACTGGATGGACTCAAGACACTAAACATGGTGTTCCCCGAGAATTACTTTGTAACTTAAATTTATAATTATAACGCCCTTAATTGTAATGTTTTATCTTGTGTTTTGTTAATTAAAACTATTTAAAAAGGTCAAGTGAATCTTTTGTTTATGGTAGTTTTGGTTATAGAAGGAATTTCCCCTTTAAAAATAGGAGTTGAAACATATTTTTGATAGTAATCCAAATTAATTTTGACATTTTTTACTCTTTCCTTATTTTACATTTTCCGTTATATGAGAGTCCAGTAATAACCATACAACCTTTAGAAAAACTTTCCTTGTTTCCTCTGAATCAACATATTAAGTCTTTTTCTCCTCTTTTTTGGTAGTAAATTGATCTTTCTTTATTGCAATCAGATAAGTATATTCAAGCCTCATCATTTGTAACTATATATTTCCAATTTTCACCTACCAAATAAGTTTTATACAGCAGTTTGCACATAGTTTTACGCTGTGGAACATGTTTCGGCGTTAGGCGACGAACATCATGTTTTTAGCTTTGATTACATTTAAAGCAGATTTTGTAATTTTGCTCACAGCTCCTACAGAGTTATTTAAAGATTTTATAATAGTTCTTTGGGAGGGGGTGGCTGGAGTTTCCCTTAAAACATGAGATGCGACTTTAGATTTAATAAGAACTACACGTACCTTTGTTGGGTATGCACTTTTTGGCTTTTTCCTAGTCAGATGTAAACTTTGATATTTATTTTCTTTCACGTAAAATACGTGACATAATATTAAAACCGTGCTTTCCACATCGTTTTTTAATAATAGAATAAAAGTATTTCTCTTCGGACAGCGCAAAAGTATAACCTTCGATCCATTGTTTACTTTTGAGCGACATTTAAAAAAAAAAAGGATATTTTTAATGCTGCAGACGATAATTAAACCTTGTTCCAGTCTGCTACCAGTCACGTTTGTGTTTCAAAATTGATATTTAAGTTCAAGGAGAAAATCAAATCGTTGCAAAAACGTGTGAACACTCTATGTATTTTTCGAGCTTTGGAAAGGAGAAAGGGGAATGGTTGTTCAGCAGTGGTAAAAGGGATGAACGGAAAAAAAAAGGCTCAGAACCCTTATTCTAGATATTTATTCACTTTGCTAAAAAAAACAAGTATTATGAGATACGCTAAACTTTCAAAAAGCTGCTATGCCTTGCAGCAGTTGTTTTCTTCGACTTGCGTTGAAAAAGACTTAAGAAATAATCCAATTCTATCGTATGAAAAATTGTACGTTATTGATAACAGAAAAAAAGGCTTGCTAAAATAGATTAAGTTACTGGAGCGAATAAATAAATTATTTAAAAAAGTTTTTGCTAGTTTTATTCACAATTTGATTGCTAAGAATTATTATCCTTTCGAGGTGATTCTTCATTTCTTTTCATGTTTTTACTATTAGAGTTTTCTAAAATTTTATAAATAACCCTTATTCTTACAAATACTGTATTAAAACTTAAAAAGATAAATGCATAATACATGTTCATTTGATAAATATGTTCATTTCCATAGAATCACAAAGATGTTATGAATCTGAGAATTAAATTTACAATGAAAACGAAAGGTTATAATGTGGATTATTAAAATATTAACTATTTTAAATTTAATAGAGAAGTCATTAACTTTTACTATTTCGATAATTTTGAGCAAGTTCTTATTAGAAGACTTAAACGCATTATATCAATGCTATGCTAGCACTGTATAAAAAAGGCATGTTGAAAAATACAAATGTAGTCTTTTCACTTCAAACATGTGCCTCAGAACTCTCAATTTAAAACTGCATATGGACCGAATGCATGATCGGAAGAAGTTCTTAGGGCAAAAGTTTTTTTTTTTAACAAAATGAAAATTTTTTTTTAACAAAAGAAATTTTTGAAACTGAATTTTAGTATAGTAAATGTTTATCAAAGTATACATAAAGAGAAATGATAATGATGCAAAAGAAAAAAAGGTTCCATTTTATATTTATTTTACTTCTGAGATCACAAGACTGGCATCTGTAAGAAATTTGTGTTGATTACACGTTTTAATTCAAATGTATTGACAGATAAATATTAAATGCTTAGACCAGTGATTCTCAACCTTTGTGCCGCGGCACTTTTGCGTGCCGCCAAATTTTAGAAATGTATATAGTAAAAATTATAATGGGTTTAATCCGGTACACATGAGACTAATAATAATGGGTTTAATACGGTACACATAAGAATTGGAGAAATTCGGTTTTTAAGACATTAATAAACGCGCCAATTGTGGTGGCGAATACTTCTGTATTTGAATTAACTTTGAACGAAGAGGAAGAACTAATTTCGCTTTCTAATAAACGAGATTTAATTTTAAAATATTCGGAAGAATCAATTAATTCATTTCGGATTAACATTAGATGCGATTATACCATGATGTCTAAAAAGGCTTTTAAAATATTATTACAGGTTTCTACATTCAGATTTTCAATATTAATCAACATAAAAACGGTAAGGAAACGTAAGGGAAAAGTGCCAGTAAGGATCTAAGTCATAATAATTGGTTAGATTAACACAAAGGAACTTGACATAATGAAAATTGGTTGTCGTTTATTTATTCTTATCTTTTGTCATTTGTAGCAGACGATATGAAAGTAATATTGTCATTTTTACAACCAATTATAAAAGAAATTATCAAAAAACATCAAGCTGAAATTTCTCATTAAAAGTATTCTTGTTATTAACTTGTTAATTAATCCCTTAATAAACGTAGTGCTGTTTTTATAGTACATATTGTTTTATTTTACATT